TACGACGAATCTACACAGTTGGAAAGGAACTCGCACGATTCACTATTCAAAAAAAGCTTTTATACCAATCTATTAATTTATTATGACCAAAAAAAAAAAAAATCTATTAATATATTGGTTAGTTCACAACTAAAAGCCCATTTTTTATAAGTCTATACAACTTTATCTTTAAACTAAGCTTTTTAAAACACATTTTTTTATATGATTCTCTTGATTTCATAACTATAATTAAAAGGACAAAGCATTGTCATTATAGCAGGTCCAGTAATCATCATCTAGACAACCTGCCCACAACAAAGAATATTACATTACTATATATACCTCCGCTGTATCATGCCAAAAAAAATGATCCGGACTGTTGATTTTGAATTAGATGATTTATAACCGTTAATAAAAAAATAATAAAGTAAACAAAAAAGTGTACACGTGACATATTTTTATTGGTCAAAAAATGAAAGTGTGGTATTAAAAAATACATTTCGATAACGCAATACTCCTCCTAGTATCATTAACATGCTTGTTGCTAGTGGTGTAATTTAGGCGGGTTAACCTGATTTTAACTCGAAAAAATTAGGACTTGGATTAGGATTTTTAATACTTGGGTTAACTTGGGTAAAAAAAGCCTCAACCCGAATTCAATTTGGGGCGGGCTTAGGGTTAATCCATCGGATTCACGGGTTGAACCAGAATATTAAAATCGGGCTCAACTCGATTTAATAATCGGGTTCAACCCAAATTAATACTATATAAATATAATTTTATCCTAGGATTAATCTCAATTCAAGTGTGCGACTTCCTCAGACGCTCACTCACTCTCAATCTCTCTCAAAGATTCTAGTTGTATAAGGATTTTGTTTAAGTAGTGAATTTTATGTTTGTGCAAATGATTCTGGTTGTGTTTATTTATGTTTTGTATGATTGTGGTTGCATTATCTCAATCATTAAGTGTTTAATATTATGATTTTTATGTTAAAAACTTGATTGAAGTAATCCGAAATCAGCTCATAAAGAAACCCAAAATTATTAATCTAAATTCAACTCGAGTCCGCCCGAACGAAACTCGGACAGTGCTCGGGTTGAGTTTCTCAACCCGATAGGATTATGATTAAATTGAAGAGTATATACTTTGGATTGAACTAGAGTCAACTGTCCCGCCCACCTATATCGGCCGAGTTGCACCCGCCTTGTCGCTGGTGTGAATTTCTAGTTGTCAGTTTTGGATCTTTCCAAATGGATGGAAGTGCCTACCTGGTTTTTTGTTTTTCTCCCACCACTTGGAAGTTATGGCTGTAGAAGGACATGGTCAGTTTCCACAGTCTACATTTTAGTTTGAATAATTTTTAATTAATAATTGAAAAAATATAATGAAGTAATAAAAAAATAAAAAAACTTTACATGTGTCACTTTTTATTAGAAAGTAGAGATATGATACTGACAATTTATTTCTTTTTGTACTGTAACCAAACTTTAGTAATGGGTAAGTTTAAGATGCTGAAAAACTAATTTCTACTATTGTACCAAAGTAACAAAATAAAAATTTCAAGAGATTAGTTCAAGTGATAGTAGGTCACTTGATAGATGCTTTAAGTTAGCATTGGTCAAGGGTCAAGGGTTCGATATTTTACAGGATAAAAATATTCTTTAGGGCCGCTTCTTCTAAATTAAATTTCTTGCACGTGGAAAAAAGACTTTGCAGGTAGGGCCAAGTTAATTACTAGTCACGGGTCGGGTCCAAATGTACTCGATTGGTGGGGTTCAAATGGCTCTATTATTTTTACAATAAACAGTTATAAATACATCAAATCAAAATAGACTTTGATGGCTACTAACCACTTCGTACTGAAATATTTTTTATGTATGACCCAAATATATATATATATATATATATGTGTGTGTGTGTGTGTGTGTACCAATTAGGTTATCCCTACCTTTGAATACCAAGTCTTACTCCAAACACTAATGAATTCTGCAGCTTGACCAGGAAGGGACAGTAGTTGCTGGTGACCTACGAGGCAGCCTTGTGACCAAAACGTGGAAGCTTGGTAATTAAACACAGCTATAGAGATAGAAAAAGTCCCCTTTGATTTTTTTTCCCCCATATGCATTTCACAATATAATTTTTTTTTATTATATATATTTTCAAGTGTCGAAGGGTTTGGAGACATGGCTTCAACATGTGGTCCATGAGCATAAAGTTTTCCCGTGTGCTGGCTTTCCAATTGACAAATTCTCCAGGGAACAAAGTGAAAACTATTTTATTCACTTGGACTTTAATGTTGTCCATGACCATTAGACCTTTGAAACTTGATTTTTTTTCTGGGTGAATAATGTTCATATTGAAAAATCTTCAAATTCTCGGTTTATTTCTTAAAAAATTAAAATTTTCTCATTATACCCATGATCATAAAAAAAAACAATGTGGTCCAAAATCAAACTTCTATTGCTTTGTCCGATTTTTTTTTTTAACGTCTATCTATTTTTTACTCAATTTTAAGTATTTTATGTACACCCTTATTTTATATGATAATTTTTTTTGATGCTTTGTCCGAAATTACAAATGCTTGAAGGTGCTAGGTAAAAATTTTAATCTATTAGGGTATGAATTGAGATTTTGAAGATCTTTTGAGGTACAAATTGTCATTCATCATTTTTTTGGGGGGTGGGTTTTTTTTTTAAAATTTGATATAAGTTTGGGACTGTGGAATGTTATCGGGTACGGCTATACATTGAATCTCAAAATTCAATAGCAGTACGAAAAAAGTCATCTTTGACTATCAGGGCATTTGTTGTGTCCAATGTTGAATTAATCAACGAAAAATTACTTACATCCTCGGGGTTTTACTGAAATTACGAACTATATCTTCGTATTTCTCAAAATTACACAACATTCGTTGCCAAGTTTTGCATCCAGGGAGACTAATAAAATTGGACCACTATTGTCGGATGACAATCAAATCATGTTGTGTCATTAACACTTATGTCCAACAGTTGGTTGGCCCGAAAATAACATGTTTACCTAACTATGTCAAGTCGCGTAACTTGAATACAACCCATTTATCGTATGAGTAATCCAAACATATTTGTGTAATACGTTTCGAATTATGTATTCGTATTTCTCGAAATTACACTACATTCATTGCCAAGTTTTGCATCCTGGGAGGCTAACAAAATTGGACCACTAGTGTCGGATTACAATCGAATCATGTTGTGTCATTAGCACTTACGTCCAACAGTTGGTTGACACGAAAACAACATGTTTACCTAACTATGTCAAGCCGTGTAACTTGAACACAACCCATTTATCGTATGAGTAATCCAAACATATTTCTGTAATACGTTTAATAAACAAATTACATTCCGGTCATGTCTAAGCTCATCAACTCTTAAAAACTCTCGTATCTCCGCCAATAATTAAATTAAACAAGCTCTACAACTTGTTAGTTTTGTATCCTGTTCCTATCAAATTAACGGATTATACCAAAAATTACTTGTCTCTAATGTCCACAATCTTACAAGATACTTTCATAATTTTTGAACTACCATATTGTCTGATAGAAAAAGAGAGATGTTAAAATGATGAGAAGGAACGAGTCAGACCAAGACGGGTTTTAAATTTTATGCATTGCACGAGGCACCCGTTAATACCATGTATAAAATAGTTTTTTTTTTTGTATCTCTAGAAACTTATTATTTAGTCGCCATGGGTACAATAATTGAGACCTTTGGGCCACCTGTTACTCTGTTTGTCAAAGATAGTTAGAATAAGTAGGAGCTGTGCATCAGCAAATTGACTGTAACGTTAAAGCTACGACAGACAATTGAAACACAAATTCAATACTAATCAGGATAACTCACCTCCTTAATTTCATTTTTAGTGAATTCGGATGCGAATTCCACGACACAAGTTTTACTAACCATAATGTAAAATCAATACGAATGATTATATACGATTTGTTTAGGTCGAAAAATCTTTTAAAGATAACATAAATTGCATGACTTAAAAGTTTTGCATGGTATTCAAAGATACGTTTTAGATAAATCAGATTTTGATTTGAATTTGATTAATTAGATATGGATTAACACTTTTATCGATTATTCGAATTCAAATCCGAAATCTTTTATTTTCATGAATTTGAATTTGAATGTACATATATCTGATCCGATTATGATATTATATGAAATATTTGTATAAATATTAAAGAAATTAAATATTTATTTGAAGAAATTTAGTTAAATTAAGTTATTTGGATCGATTTGAATTGTTAACGAATTTGGATATGAACCAAGAAAATAAAATTCGTTGGATTATCAAATTGGATCAGTGTTTTAAAGTCAAATTGAAATTCAGATAATTAAACTTCGATCCAAAAGCCGATCCATTAAAATGCCTAACTCCAACTAATGGGTTGTATATTTAGGATGGGGTTTGAGTATATATAGTCACAAACAAATGAGTCTCACATGGTTGATTCCGTCAAAAAATAGGTAGAAGTGTACGATTTACTCACATTGGCTTAAAACAAATGATACAAAATTATATTAGAATTGGACAATGTACTCATGTTGGCTTAAAATAAATAGTTTAAAGGCTGAATTTATATAAAATTAAATTACAGGTTCAATTGAAACAAACAACATTATTTGGGGGTTCAAGTAGTAAGCATGTGAATTTTTTTTTCCTTTCACGTAGGTTTCAGATATTTGCCAAATAAAAAAAAAGGTGGAAAATACAACAGGTTGTGAACGGTAACTGTTGCTACTGTCACAGCGGTTCCACTCCGTGGTAGATTTGGTGTTGGTGGGTATTCCTCATTTTTGTCTCGTAAGCCAGTTTAACAATCAGAATCAAATCTTTTTTCCGGATAATCTCCAATTTCTTTGTATATTATCAGTTTCTATCGCTTTCGTGGTCTGTTCCATGGTGGTTCTTTTGTTGGTTTGAACTTTGATCTACAACTGGTGAGAGAGAGAGAGAGAGAGAGAGAGAGAGAGAGAGAGAGATGGGGGAGAAGCCTGAAGTTCTGGATGCTGTGTTGAAGGAAACTGTGGATTTGGTAATGGATCTGAGAATTGATATGGGTGTTTTTGTTGATAATTTGTGTTGTGAATTTGTTTGGTTCCTGCATTCGATTTGATGATTTTGAGATGTTGTGAGTTCAGGAAAACATACCCATTGTGGAAGTTTTTGACAATCTGAGATGTGGCAGAGAGGGTCTCACTACTCAGTCTGCTCAAGAAAGATTAGCCATTTTTGGGCACAACAAGCTTGAGGAGAAGAAGGTGCTGATTTGCCTCTGAGATCCTCTTCTTCATTTCAATCTTTTTTCTAGGCAATTTCGAATTTCAGTTCTGATGTTAACACTGCCTTCTCAACTTTCATATGTTATGTGTGTGTCTGTGTGTGCGCTTGTATTTTGCTTCAATCTTGATATTATCACTATTGTTTTCTTAATATTTATTCTTTTTTTGTGTTTGTATTGTCTCTTTCTTTTTTCTTGTTTCAGCCCTTTAAGTTGCAGTTCTAAATTTTTAATGTTTGGACATTGTACCTCAACAAAGTTTGATCTTTTGGATTTGAGTGTGGATTGTTTCAGTACTTCTGAACTTTTATTTGTAATGTCAAAGTTTATATCTTCACAAATTTATGTACTTTGGGCATGTTTCAGGAGAGCAAATTCTTGAAGTTTTTGGGTTTCATGTGGAATCCTCTATCATGGGTTATGGAAGCCGCTGCTATCATGGCAATTGCTCTTGCCAACGGTGGCGTAAGAACTTGCTCTTTGGATAAGTTCAACTATTCTTATTGCAAGTATTTTGTTCTCTGTATTTAATGAACTATAAACTCTTAAACATTTGCAGGGAAAGCCTCCTGATTGGCAAGACTTTGTTGGTATCATTACTTTGCTTTTCATTAACTCGACAATTAGTTTTATTGAGGAGAACAATGCTGGGAACGCCGCGGCTGCTCTCATGGCTCGTCTTGCTCCCAAAGCTAAGGTGTTAGATTTGCTTGTGATATTATGAGCTAAGTTTATCTGCCAATGTGTTCAAAGCTGCCAATATTTAGATAATTATGAGCAAATGATGAATGGTGCTGCATGAACTTGAGGCTGTATATTATTACCGTGGTTTAAGGTTGATTTTTGATTTCAACTGTCCTTGTTATAAAGGTTCTTCGAGATGGAAGGTGGAGTGAGGAAGATGCTTCTATTTTAGTCCCCGGGGATGTAATCAGTATAAAACTTGGAGATATTATTCCCGCAGATTCTCGTCTACTTGATGGTGATCCATTGAAGATTGACCAGGTGAATATGCTGATACTGTTTTTGCGCACACAGTATTTTTGTTGAACTGATCAAGTGTAAGGTGTGGCACTGAACTTATCTTGTTAGCGCGTTGCAGTCTGCTTTAACAGGTGAATCTCTTCCAGTTACAAAAGGCCCCGGAGATGGCGTTTACTCTGGTTCTACTTGCAAACAGGGGGAGTTAGAAGCTGTGGTAATCGCCACCGGGGTTCATACTTTCTTTGGGAAGGCTGCTCACCTTGTTGATAGTACCAACCAAGTGGGGCACTTCCAGAAGGCAAGTAAATAGAACTTTATCATAGTTCCTCTGGACTTGCTTTTTAGTTTTTGAATACCTTTCCTGATTTCCCTATTCGGTGTCTTGAGTAGGTCTTGACTGCTATTGGAAACTTTTGCATTTGTTCTATCGCGGTGGGGATGATAATAGAGATTATTGTGATGTATCCGATTCAACACCGGAAATATCGTCCTGGGATTGACAATCTTCTTGTGCTTCTCATTGGAGGAATTCCAATTGCCATGCCTACAGTTCTATCAGTAACAATGGCCATTGGTTCTCATCGCTTAGCTCAACAGGTTTGTTAGGTTCCCAGTTTTGTTATGAAATAGTGTGACTGAAGAATGTCCTTGTATGATGGGATATGTCAACAATGACTGCAGGGAGCTATTACTAAAAGAATGACAGCTATAGAAGAAATGGCTGGCATGGATGTCCTTTGCAGTGACAAAACTGGAACCCTGACATTGAACAAACTCACTGTTGACAAGAATCTTATTGAGGTTAGTGAGGGCGTGCCTTTCCCTACTGATTAGGGGTGCATCTCTTCATTGAGCAGAATGTAAGTGTTGTTTTAATCATCTGTCTGGGTTTATCTTCTAAGGTGTTCGCCAAAGGTATAGATGCGGATACCGTTGTACTGATGGCTGCTCGAGCCTCCCGAGTAGAAAACCAGGATGCAATAGATTCTGCTATAGTTGGGATGCTGGCTGATCCAAAAGAGGTAATTGACCACGTACCATAATTGATTTGTAAATATCTATTTTGTTACCGACACTTTCACTTAAGTTTCTACATTGGTAATTGGTTTCATGGACAGGCACGCACTGGCGTTCAAGAAGTGCACTTCCTTCCCTTCAACCCGACTGATAAACGTACAGCATTAACTTATTTTGACAGTGAGGGTAAAATGCACCGGGTCAGCAAAGGTGCACCAGAGCAGGTATCATTCCAACTAGCCCTGCTTAATTAGCTTGACCTTTTCCTTGTAAGTTATTTCTCCTGATTTTCGGTCTGCATTATGGGGTTTAGATTTTGAATCTCGCGCACAATAAGTCAGACATAGAGCGTAGGGTTCATGCTGTGATTGATAAGTTTGCTGAGCGAGGTTTGCGGTCACTTGCTGTTGCATACCAGGTAAATTATTTCTGTCGTCCTTATTTATTATCTTCTTAATTTAATTTTTGTGTAATCTAAAATTGCTCTGATTTTGTTGTTACTGAAAATTTTTCTTGAAGCATTCCCTCATTTTTCATGCAGGAAGTTTCAGAGGGAAGGAAAGAAAGTGCTGGAGGCCCATGGCAATTCATTGGTCTCATGCCTCTCTTTGACCCACCCAGGCATGACAGTGCAGACACAATAAGGAGGGCTTTAAATCTTGGAGTAAATGTCAAAATGATTACAGGTGCATTGCAATTTGTACTTGTAAGGGATGATATTCCATATAACACAGGGTTGGATGGTAAAAGTGCTGTGGATGCTGTATGCATATTTGTAGTTATGTTTTGTGTCATATGGAAAAAATTTAAATTATTGGCCCCATGAGGTTTGTAATAATTCACTATGAATAGGGGTGTCTGTATCTCTGTGTAGAATCACTAAATGCACGCAAGTGAACAAAAATGGGATTGACCTTGTGAGTATGTTGCTAAAATTGGAAGAAGAAACTGTAGTACGTAATTTGGCGGGATTTATGTTAAAACAGTTGTTCACTGTATTACAGAAAAGTAAAAAAATTGTTTATTGTGTGCTTCATCTGCACATTTATTTGCTGGAAGTGAAGTTTATAGAAAATGTTGATGCTTGTAGTGCTGGAACTTGGTTGTGAAGATATTGTGATGGCAGCTTTATGTCTCTTCTTTTCTATGTAAAGTAGGTCATAGGAGACTAATGATCTTGCATATGGAAAAGGAAAAAGTGAACAACCCGAATTTGATCAATAACTATTATATTATAAGTCAGATGCTTGAACATTGCCCTTGTATATGAATAGAACTATAGAAGTGTTGTGCCAGTTTTTTTTCTGTTTCAGTTCAGATTCTAGTGCAACAAGTTGCCAGTAGGCAGGCGATGCTTTCAATTACTGAATACTGGGATTTGTAACAGGTGATCAGCTGGCAATAGGGAAAGAAACTGGACGCCGCTTGGGAATGGGAACCAACATGTATCCTTCCTCTGCTTTGCTTGGACAGAACAAAGATGAGTCGATTGCTGCTTTACCAATTGATGAGCTCATTGAGAAAGCTGATGGTTTTGCTGGTGTTTTCCCTGGTATGCTGTTTTACTTTATGTTCATATTTTATTGTCAACATTGTTTAGGAATGTGCATGTGTGACTTTATTTATAGCTTTTACTCTTGGGTGCCATGTCAATTATTTTATTCAGTTTTCATTGTTCGTTGATTGGCTTATCATATCCATTGTTTCAGAGCACAAATATGAAATAGTAAAGCGCCTGCAAGCTAGAAAACATATTTGTGGAATGACTGGTGATGGTGTTAATGATGCCCCTGCTCTTAAAAAGGCTGATATTGGGATAGCTGTCGCCGATGCAACTGATGCAGCTCGTAGTGCTTCAGATATTGTCCTTACTGAACCTGGACTCAGTGTTATCATAAGTGCTGTCTTGACAAGTCGAGCAATCTTTCAGAGGATGAAAAATTACACAGTAGGCCTTGGTTCTTATGATGGTGTCATACTCTTAATTTTCGCTTGCTTCCGCTTTATAATGAATAGTTTACTTTTCTTGAAATAATTGTGGCTATGCAATCTCTTTTATCAACATAAACAATTATTATTTTTCTCTGTTTCGCAGATATATGCGGTTTCTATTACAATTCGTATTGTGGTAAGTATTTTATGGTTTCTGTGGGAGGTTTTTCAAGTTTTTGATACTGTCTGATGGTTTTTGTTGCACCTCTGGGATCATTTTACCAGTTTGGTCCCTATTAATTGAGAGTGATAGAAGGGGTGAATTGGATATAGATCTAAATTTTGGCATTAGTTGCATAAAGTGACTGCCTTTGTATTAAATCCTACTATTTCTCAGTTATTAGCCAACACTTATAAGCTATACCATTGCATCAGGCAATGGTCTTATGTTAATTATATCATTGTCATTGAATAGATGCATTGCATTTTTAACACATATCCTTATTCCTTTTCTTCTTCCTTTTTACTGTGACAGCTTGGTTTTATGCTGCTGGCCCTAATATGGAAGTTTGACTTTCCACCATTCATGGTGCTCATCATTGCCATTCTCAATGACGGTTCGCTCTCTCTTTTCCCTCACTAGTCTACTCTCTATCTCTATCTCTCACACATGCATCCACTTTTGGCTTGCAGACATGTTTTTTCTTTTTATACTGTTTAATTAAATGGTACTTAAATATTTGTTTGCGAAGTTGTTGTAGCATAGTGGCATGGGATCTGATGGGGAAGGGTCGAACAGTGGGTTCAACACTTTTTATTGTCTTTTTTTTTATTGGTTTTTTCAGTCTTGTGAATAACTGCAAAACTGTACTACATGATTTTCAACTGAAAGATTTTGAAGATTCTGCCCCACTCATTAGAGTCTTTTTGTGCATGTATTTGATTCAGAGGCATAAATTAAATCCCATCAGCACTCGAGTAGCCATTTTGATCTGATCGATTTAGCACTCTTTTCTGAGAGAACTTACTAACAGCTGTTACATGCCAGGTACCATTATGACTATATCAAAGGATAGGGTGAAGCCATCTCCTCTGCCAGACAGTTGGAAACTAGCTGAGATTTTTACAACTGGCATTGTTCTGGGTAGTTATTTGGCTATGATGACAGTCATATTCTTTTGGGCAGCCTACAAAACAGACTTTTTCCCGGTAAATTGATTTGCCTTTATCAAAGCAACTTGTTAAAATTTTTCTTGCTGAAGTTTTTGTCATCTATCAAGAATGGTATACTTGCCAATTTATTTTTGCTGAAATCACAATTTTTTTCATTTTCTCATCAAGAGAGTGTGTATGGAATATTTAGATTTCACTGTGGATTGGACTGCGAAATCCTATATTTGAAATTTGTTTTGATAGATTTCTTCCTTTTTTCCTTCTGTTTTACTTTTTGCTGTCTACTTTTTGAGACTAGATTATGCAGTTTGTTTGGGGTCAAGAATTATTGCGGCTGACCTAACTTTGTCTTCTCTTTTTTCTGTAACATGTTTATTATCCAGAATTGTTTGTATCACTGTTCAAAAAAAAAAAAGAAGAATTTGTACTTGCTATTTTTGGCATGCATCAAGCTGCTAGAGTGTTCGTTGCTGGTGTTTGAGTCCTTTTTAGTTTATTTTTTGAATTACTCTTCTCATAATTTTCCAGCGGGTATTTGGGGTGTCAACTCTTGAGAAAACGGCTCATGACGACTTTAGAAAGCTGGCTTCCGCTATATATCTTCAAGTGAGCACTATCAGTCAGGCCCTCATATTTGTTACACGAGCTCGAAGCTGGTCATACATCGAGCGTCCTGGTTTGTTGCTTGTGGTGGCTTTTGTGGTTGCTCAACTGGTGAGCGAACTGCAATCATTTCAGTTCGAATTCTTTTTGTATAATAAATGCCAACATAATTTTCTGTTGTTCATCATGAATAGATCGCTACTTTGATTGCGGTTTATGCAAATTGGGGCTTTGCTGCAATTGAAGGAATTGGATGGGGCTGGGCTGGGGTGATTTGGCTTTACAATTTAGTATTCTACTTCCCGCTTGACTTCATAAAGTTCTTCATCCGCTATGCTCTTAGTGGGAGGGCCTGGGATCTTGTTCTTGAGCAAAGGGTATGCATGTCACTCAATTGCTGTAATGATTGATCTGATAGTGTTTCTTGTTAAGAACGTTTGTCCCACCTTTACTTGTTATTTAGGTTTTATCCGATGGTCCTGATTTGATTGCTTCCTTTGTTTCACAGATTGCTTTCACAAGGAAAAAGGACTTTGGAAAGGAACAACGTGAGCTAGCATGGGCACATGCGCAAAGAACCCTACATGGGCTGCAAGTACCTGACACCAAATTATTTAATGATCGATCCAATTTCACAGACCTCAATCAGATAGCTGAGGATGCCAAAAGGAGAGCTGAAATTACAAGGTACGGTTTCAGTTTATCCGTGTACTAAGGGACAAGTATCCACTATTTTACTAAGATGTTTGCTATCGAAAAAGAAGGAAAGAAAATCATTGTGATGTGTCTGGAAAATCGCCTAAAGATGGGCAAGAGTCATTCATTGGATACGAAGTAAATTTTTTTAAATGTGTTCCAGTCCTTATCCCTCTATTGATAAGGTCATTGCTCAATCTTTCTTTTCAGCCACGTTTTAGTTAAGTCAAAGATTCTATCTCGTTCAGATCCCTTTCGCTGTAGAAGATATGTTTCTTGGATTGGTGGGATCCTGGTTTTGTTGCACAGAAACCTTGAATGTATTTTTCTGATATATTTGGTTTTGTTTTCCCCACCTGTTGCAGGTTGAGAGAACTACACACACTGAAAGGTCATGTTGAATCAGTGGTAAGATTAAAGGGTCTCGACATAGAAACGATACAACAATCTTACACTGTCTAAGGAGATAAACCTATTTGATAGTTGCCTTCTACCCTTCTTGAGAGAGAGGACATAATCAACTATAGCTGTGAGTTACCGTTGAAAAACCGTTCAGTTATTGCAACTTTGTTATCCATTTCAGCACTTAATGCTCTTGTTGGCACTTGTTCATCTGAATTTTATTCATGTCTTGGTTCTCAATATACCCAGCAACACTTGCGCAAATAGCTCTTAACTGTGTCAGAGTAAAGTTTATATGGTAAGGCTATTTGGTCTTCGTTGTTTTCTAATCTATATAATAAAGTAGAACGATTTTGAATTTAAGAGATAAAGAGCGGGTCAGATCGTTTCGAGATCAAAAAAGGCATCATTCAACGACCGACGATATTTCAATTATTTCGAGCTATTGATGTCTTAGATTGTTTCAATCTGATGTACCATATTAGCTTTTGAAAAATTTTTGCCGCTCAAAACTTTTTGTTTCCAAAACTAATATTCATAAATTTAATTCTCTAATCTAATCAAATTCGGCAATTAAGCGATCTCTAATTCTTCAACTCTGTTTCTCTCTCCCTAAAATACAGATTACAACTCTTACCGTTATTTCTCTGATTTTATTTCTTATGTTAAGGGATTATTTTTTATATTGAGACATTGATTGTCTCACACTCTCATCTTTCATGATTCTTTTTTCAAATCGAGACACTCGTCCCCCCAAAATTCTATCATAATACAACTGTTCTTCATCTTTACTGTTCATATCACACACACATCTTTATTGTACATATATACAGTACAAAAATTGAAGACATACTATATCTACATGTTATATCTTAGGGAAAGTTCATCCAAACACTATGTGGTTGAGTCTAAATTCAATGACAACCCCTATAACAATAACTTTTGTATCTATCAGTAGATAAAATAATGATTTAACTAAATCTTTTATGAAAATATTAAAATTACTCTTTATTATGTAAATAGACTAAAATGTCATCAATTTCTTTTCTATTATATATGCGCTAGCCAGCTAACAAACGTAATTTTAATCATTATATTATCTCAATAAATTTTTTATTTTAAAACGTCATATTATAACTTTGTTATAATATTAATCATCATATTATTACTCATTTGGTTACATAATCAAGTTTTTATAATTTTTATATTTTTTTATCATAATAATTTTTATAGTTAAAAATAATTTTTCTATAATAAAAATTACAATTGATAAAGTCAATGTTAAAATCTCATTCATTTCTAATTTCTCTGCTATCATATATACTCCACGACGTCGCCCGACCGCTCCTCACACATCATACTTCATATATAAAATTTAAAATTATTTGATAAAATTTAATATTAATTGAATAAATTTGATCTTAATTTTGATAAATTTAAATATTAAATTATTTTTAATTTGATAAAATTAAATATTAATTTAGTATTAATTTGATTGAATTTAATGTTAATTGAATAAATTTGAATGTTGTTTTAATAAAACTAAATGTTCATTTGGTGGTAAATTAAAGAAATGACATTAATTTGATAAGGTTAAATTTTAAATTAATGGAATTTAATATTCTATTTAATAAATTAAATAGTTTAATTTTATAAAATTGAATTTCAATTTGATGTTGATTTGATAAAAATAAACAATAACTTAATATTAAATTAAAGAAATAATATTAATTTCATGAAATGAAATATTAAATTAATATAACTAAATGCTAATTTGATAAAATTAAATATCAATTTTGTGTTAATTTGATGAGATGAAATGTTAATTTAGTTTAAATTAAAGAAAAAAAATTAATTTAATAAATTGAATATTAAATTGATCAAAATAAAGGCTAATAAAATAGAACTAAAAAGGAGTGTATTAAAATTAGAGAATCAAGTAGGGGTGTTGTTAAAGTTAGGTCTATTTACAAGGAATATTGTTAAAGTTAAGTTTATTTATAAAGAGTGTGGATAAAATTTACCCTATAAAATACTCGGGGATATTTCTATAAATCAACCATTGCCATTAACGGTATAACTTGATAATCACTAACAGGGAGTGACAGTGAAATTTTATAATCAGAATAAGGTGTCATTGAATTTAGACTTAACTACAGGGGATCTGAATAAAATTTTCCTTCATATCTATACAAATCTATATAATAAAAACACACAAGAAGTTGAATTTTATCTCGTATACATTTTTCATCCCCCCAAAACTATCACATCACTCATTTTTATCGCATGCTCAACCATTTAATATTTGATTAATTTATAATTTAACATAATTTTATTTCAGATATTATCCATACATGATAATATACATCTGTTAAAAAAATATATCGAATTACATATTTTGAGAAAATTTTGTCAATATCTTTAAGAAAATAATGGGTAAAAATAAAATTTGAATGACTTAATCAAACAAATGAAAGAAAAAAAAATTATTTAATATTGTGATATATATTTTTTAGGACTCGAATTTTTTATTCTATCGTGCCTTCAAACACGGGTTATGACTAGTCTTTTTATATTGCTTGTGCTCTTTCTAGTTGAGGTCTATATTCAACTTCTTTTAGAGGGTACATGAAAAACACAAAAAAGACGTACTCAGTGCACAAGATTTCTTCTATTGTGGAGTCTGAAGAGAGTTAGATGTACGCAGTCTTACCTCTTCGAGCAGAAACCAGGGATTCATCAATTTAGAGGAATTTGCTTTTTAGCTTCAACAACCAGAAACTAGGGATTCATCAATTACGGATTGTCAACATTTTAAGAACCAATCGTTTCCAATGGCCTAGGATTTGGGATGCAAGGACATAATGTAGCCATGGTAATTGTTAGAATAGTTATTATATTTAGATTTAGGGGTAGTTTAGTCATTTATTTATTTTTATGTTGCCATGGTTTAGTTTACTATATAAAGACCTCTTAGTTTTTTTTAAGGTTTGTTCTGGTTAATTGTGTCTCAATAGTATTATCTTATTTCTTCCTCTTACTTTTCTTTGATTGATCAAAGTTAACATGATATGAGAGTATGATTTCGATCCAAAATATATATTGTAGCACCACATTAATTTAGTTGGAGGAAGAATATATTATTGAGTTGTGTGATTTGAGGGCAAGTGATTGGTGGATTACTATTTTTTTGTGATTCCAAGGGCGGTGAACAATGTCGGAACACTGTTCACTGGATGAACAGTGCCGAAAGTACTGTTCACACGCTGTGAACGGTACCGACGTTACTGTTCATGCTGTGAATACTGCTGAATTTCTATTTTTAGTGTCTTTTTGATGTTTTGCCACTGTCTTGCTATTTTGCTACCTCTGTTTGTCTTCTGAACTTTTGAAAGTTATGGAATTTAGGTTGTCTAGTTGCTAGATTGCTGGTTTGATTTATTGTCTCGAGATGCTTGTATTAAGGCCTATTGAACGTTTGCTTCTTCGTTGGTTTCTGGTTTGTGAAGTTGGTACGTTGGGATCTGCTGTTTGGATTGCTATTTTTGTTGACTTGCTGTTGTCTCTTCTCTTCTGCTGGTGCTTCTTCTTCTTCTACTTCTTCTGGTTGCTAGTCTGGTTGTTTCTTCTTCGTTTGCTGCTGTTGTTGTTGCTTTGAGCTTTTGGATTGGTTTGTTGATTGGTTGGTTTTGTGCATTGGTGAGTTGTCACGTTGCTAATTTTTGATTTGTTTGTTTCAGCTTGTTATTTGACATAGCGTTGCATTATTTCGCACTGAATAAGCAGGAAACTTTTGTTTCTACTTTTGATTTGTGGGTTTGAGCCTTTGGGGCTGATTTTGTGAACGAACTGCTGGTGAGTATTTGATTTGCAAAGTTGTTAAGTTGATTTGTGGTGAATTTTGAATTGTTTGGCGTTGGCTACTTCTTTTGGTTCTAGTTTCTGATTTTGACTATTGTTGGTTTGGGACTAGTTCTGATTTGTTTTTTTTTTCTTTGTTGGGATTTGTTTTGTTGAGCATTGTTGCTGGTGATTTTTGTTGAACTTTGGTTTTCTGTTGGACCTCTCATTGCTATTTGATCGTCTTTGGAACTTCGTGCTTACTCTGATGTGGATTGGGCTGGTAAATCTATGGATCACAAGTCCACTACTGGTTTCTGTCTCTTCATTGGTGATTGTCTTATTTCGTGGAAAAGTAAGAAACAAACTATTATGGCTTGATCAACTGTTGAAGCTGAGTATCATGCTATGACCTTCATAACACCATTTTTTTCTTAGCAAACTCTTGATATTTAATGTTACCACATCATGAGTTTGAAGGAAGATGTTAGAATAGTTATTATATTTAGACTTAGGGGTAGTTTAGTTATTTGTTTTCTTTTATATTGCCCTAGCTTAGTTTACTATATAAAAATATCTTAGTTTTTCTTTAAGTTTTGTTTTGCCTAATTGTACCTCAAAAATATTCTCTTCTTTCTTCTTCTTACTTTTCTTTGATTGATCAAAGTTAACAGTAATACATTGCCGGTAGAATTATAATTACAAAAATTGTAGGATGTAGGTAGACGTTGCTGATAGCCGATGCTTGGTTGAGTTGTGTTAAGTGGAAGTAGACGCCGTTGAGATAATACTATCTAGTCTCTGTAATTAGGACTTAGGGAAGAGGCTGTGGCCTAACATCCTGATACAACTTACCAACAAACTAGAGAGAAAAGAACATGAAGGCTCATGTTCAATCCTTTCATGTCTAATGTGAACTTCAATTATCCAACCACATTTTGTCCTGTTTCTTTGTTTCCATTCCACCCAGGTAATAGAAACAATCCAATCTCCCTTTGCCAAGATCTTCTGGCAACCAATTTTCAGATTCAGCCCCTTTCGTTTTGTGATTTTTCTTAAAAAAGTGATGCAATATGAGGACTTCCCAAGAGGGTCACTTATTCTAGTACTGCTATTGCCCAAACACCTTTTGTTCTGTGATTAACTATCGACACAATGAAACTGTTCAAATAACTTGAGGCCGCCATGCCACTGACGAACAAAGACCCTGCAAAACTTCTCATGTATTTTGTGAATTGCTTGTAGTAAAATTCAACTTGTCCGAACGCAGGTAGATGTGCCTCAGCAACTCCTGGCGCTTAGTCTGGGAATCCTTGAGTGTTAAAAGCAATATATTTGGTGTAATTGGGGATTTAATTTCAAGAACAAAATGAACTGTTATTGTCAGATTGAACATGAAAAATGTGAATGTTACTTCCGACTATTCTTATTAGTTTCATATCGCCCTTCTTGTAGCCATTGGAAACATTTATTTTATTACATTTAGACATTTTTTGTCCAAAAATATGTCAAAAGTAGTGTTGGTGCATTGTGAAACCAAGTCGAGTCGTTTCCGGGAGTAT